ATTATTCACTGAAAATCTGTTCCTCTGTTGCAAATCTCATTCTCCATTCTGCATATTTGAACACCGAAAAACTGGGAAAAATAACAGAATTTACTTTAAAACAGTTTACAATAAGAAATTGGTAGTAAATTTCACAATTAATTACAATGAAATGACAAGTAACACATTGGAATTTTGAAGTAGGAGGACTGAAATAGTATTTTCTTGCTTATAAATTTAAAAAATAATTTTTTACAATGTAACGGTTTGGTTTGGAATTGCATGCACTGAAAAAATGTATAAACAATTTTCACTCAAAAATTGCGAGTAAACTGAAATTTTGAAGTAAAAAGAAATCTAAGACAATAGTATTTTCTTGTCAAATGTATTCTAATAATCTCTTTTATTTACAACTTTAAAAAAAAATTTTTTGCAGTGTAAATGTTTGTTCTGGAATCGGACATTAAAGGGGTCATATGATGTTGCTAAAAAGAACATTATTTTGTGTATTTGGTGTAATGAAATGTGTTTATGCGGTTTAAGGTTCAAAAAACACATTATTTTCCACATACTGTTAGACGTGGGGGGCGTGTTAGATCGAGCCGTTTTAGGTAGGCGTGGCTGACTCTTAACTTTCATAAAGAATATCTCTTTGGATTTGAGACTTTAGTCTTTGCAACTTTACAGATCTTCTTTATGCACCAAGAGCTTGTAACACTCCAAAGAGAAAGGAAAAATTGAAATCGCATCAAATGACCCCTTTAATTCTTAGCTCCATTAGAGATAAAGATTTCAGTGATTAGCTAATTTAATTTTACTTCACACAAAGATGTCACATGACCTCAGAAGATTTATAGCGAAAACATAGTGCACAAGTTCTATGGTCTACTTTTATAGAGGTTTTTGGTGTTTATATGTCCTTGTTGGAGCTTGACAGATGAAGTCACCATGTTGTTGAACATATGAAAACTGGATGAACTATTCCTATAAAAGCCAAATGTATTAAATTTATTAAATCAGTTTTATTTTAGTATCACTTATACTATTATAGTTTTTGTTAATATTTTGAACTAGATTTTATTTGAATATTTTCTGTTTCCAATTTATTTTTAGGTAAAGTTTTGGTCATTGTGTGTGTGTGTGTGCGCGCATTTTTATTAGTTTTTTTTTTAAATATACTTAATTTTTATTAATATTATTTATTAGTTGATTTATTTTTAGTTATTTTTGTACATCAAGTTAAATGATAAACACTGGGAAATGTTGCCATGGCAACTAACTGAAATAAAAGAAAAAATGTTTAAAATAAAAAGTACTAAAATTACTAAAAAATGTAAAGAAAAATTCTATTAAAAAAATAAAATAAAAATGACAAAGGTACATAACAAAATTACAAAAACTTAAACTAAAATTAAAATGGAAACAGAAAATATAAAAATGAATATTCAAATATTAATAAAATACTGTAATAGTATCTAAATAGTACTAAAATAATATTGTAGCTGCAGTGATATTTAGATACTGTTAGTAATTTGGTAGAATTCAGAGATAAAATGATGTTTTAAAAATGTTTTACATTTTTTAAATATACTATATCTTATTTCATTTCATGAAGTTCACGTTTTTTTTTATTGTTTTAGTTTTAGTTAACTATAATAATAACCCTGACACGCCTGCACGTACATGCAGAGGACAGGACACCCAGATGAGTTCCAGCATGTCTCCTGTTGCTCCTGCTGGAGAGATTAACATGCAGAGCAGCACAGAACTCAGTGGGACTCGCAAACAAACTTGAAAGGAGCTGAGAGAGAGAGAGAGACGTGGGGAGGGGAGATAGCATTGAGGGCTGAAGTGAGTCCTGGAGTGAAAATCAAATCGGCAAGATGGAGATGTTGCAAGCCAAAAAGAGTGAAGCAGGAGGTTGGGAGGCCGGCAGATGGGTGAGGGGGTGTACAGAGGGAGGGACTTCAGTGGAAAGAAAAAAGGGAAGGTGAAGGAGAAGAATGCATTAGACTGAGAGAAAATAAACCAGAAGTCTGCTGGAGAGAAGATCTCATTCAAGACGTGAGCAGAACCCATTCAGACTGCTTTCAAACAGGTATGCTGATAATTTTTACTACGGTTTTACTTACGCTGAGGCTACAGGTTGCCATGATGATCAGTATCATAGGAACTGTAATAGTGCACTAATAGTGTGTTATTTTACGACGGGAACCACCCAAAAACTACTGTAAAACTTTAATAAATCTTGGAATAATGGATAATTCTAAATAAATAGCCTATATCCAAAGTAATCAGTGTACCATTAAATCTTTTTGATTATTTTATGTAATCAATTGTATAATTTTTTTAAATATACTTTTAATTTTTAGTAACAATAGCCAATGTTATGTTAGTGTCATTGAGATACTAGTTTTTCCAAAATATTTTAATTCGTTTTTATTTTTGTGTTTTCTGTTCATTTTTTTCTGTTCATTTTAATTTAAATATCTACCAAAATTTAATTCTTAAAGTGCCCCTATATGGATTTTTGAAAATTACCTTTCATTCAGTTTGTAGCTAACACAGCTCTAAGTGAATGAAAACATCCTGCAAAGTTTTAAATCTGAAAGTACACCGTGTATAAAGTTATTGTCTCTCAAAAGAAAGAGTCGACTCTGAATCATTGAAACAAGTCCCAAGCAGTTTCATGTTGACGTCAACATGAAATATTAGCATATTGCCCGCCCACTTGTTGGTCTTTTCGCGTTGGTCTGAATGAAAATGTAAATTCATTCTTTGCCACTAGGTGCCGCTTTTGGAGCGGTAAAAATAGCGGTTTCCCCGGTAACGCTGTACACAAAGCAGCACTTCGCTAACAAACGCTGCTTTATCAGGCATACAGGCAAGATTAAATGAAAATGAGACCAATCAGACCAATCACCGCAGATTAGCGTCATGCAAAGGAGGGGTTTGGAAAAATGAATCGTTGAGCAAATAAGGTAAAAATAAATGCATATTATAAGACGATGAAAGTGTTTTTTGACCTTGCATGCATGTCAACCTGTTGTTGGGGACTCCCAAAACCAAAATATGAACCTTTCATTACCCATAATTGGGGCACTTTAATTCAGTGTGTTACTTACCATTTCTTTGTAATTGTGAAATTTTCTATCAAATTCTGAGTGAAAATTGTTTCTACACATTTTTTAGTGAAGTTAAAGTAAATGAAAATGAGAAATGTATATGAAATAAAATAAAAATTACAATTAAATTCAATTTTATATTATATTAATTTCATATTATTCATTTAACATTTATTGTATTTAAAGTATCAATTTTTTGAATGGTTTTAACTATAATAACCCTGGCAATAACTATAACAATATCTAGATTCATTGTTTTTGCCCATGTATAACTGAGTGATTGTCAGGGCGATGCTAAGATGTTATGAGCTGTTTTTAGCGTGTTGTTATGCTGTTGCTAGAGTGTTGCTTAGTCATAAGAGTTAATGCTCAAGTCTCTATTCTGGTTATATGGTTTATTTCACCTATTTTGTCACACCAGGTAAAAATTGTTAGTCTGATCACTTAATATCACCAATAACTTTTTTGTTGTTGCTGATCCAAGTGTGTATCTTTATTCGATGTGAATTATTAGCAAGCTGGCATCAGTCAGGGGGCCGGGACTTCTCATTCCCTTTATGGCTTAGTCAGGTTCCCACAGTAACGGTCAGGCGATGCCATGAAGTTCATTCCACTGCGATGTGTATGAGCAGAGCCCAGTGTGTGTCCTGCGTTAAAAATACATCCTCATGTTTAGCTTGACTTTAATTCTCTCCCGAAGGAACATTCAGGCTGTTTGTTTGTTCATGCACAGAGAGAAACTGTTGAAAAACTGGTGGAAACAGTTTAAGGTGAACATGAAATGACGTTCGTCACAGGGTTATTATTGTTAACTAAAAGCATAAACAAAATGTTACTTTAAATAAAATAAATGTTAACTGAAATAAAATAAAATATTTTTTATTATTATTTCCGTTACTTGCCAAAGCAACATTTTTCATTTTCATTTGCTTTAACTTGATCTACTAAAATAACAAAAAAAAAATATATAATTTATGAATACTCTATAGACATATTACTAATAAAACTAATAAAAATGGGGGAGAAAAACACAAGAAAATTACTAAAGCTTTAACTAAATAAAAATGTATTCAAAATAATAACAAATAAAAACTATAATAGTATCTCAATGAAAATAAAATAACACTGAAAAAATAACATTTTATTTCTGTATTTTTGTGTATTTCTTTACAAACATCCTTAAAAAGTAAACTTAAAAAATAAAATAAAAATAATGATAATGAGACCCGTTTTAAGAGAATATATCTACAATTTAAGTGTTTAAATAAAATTTTTTTTTTTTGTTATATATATATATATACAGTGGGTACGGAAAGTATTCAGACCCCCTTAAATTTTTCACTCTTTGTTATATTGCAGCCATTTGCTAAAATCATTTAAGTTCATTTTTTTTCCTCATTAATGTACACACAGCACGCACTATTGACAGAAAAACACAGAATTGTTGACATCTTTGCAGATTTATTAAAAAAGAAAAACTGAAAAATGCTCAGTATTTAGTAGAAGCACCCATTTGATCTAATACAGCCATGAGTCTTATTGGGAAAGATGCAACAAGTTTTTCACACATCAAATATTCAAGTTCAATTCAAATTTTTTTTTCTTTGTGATAAAAGAATATGACATTTGGTAGGGAGCTGAAAAGACATTACATTTTTTTAAATTATTTTTGTTTATTGCAATAACATACAACAATGGATCGTTCAGAAGAGCAGGAGCTTGTATTAAGCACTTGACAGGGTCCATTTTTATCTTATGTTCTTTAATTTGTTCTTATGTCTTGTTTAATTATGTTATGAATGAGTGGAGCTGCTAAGATGAACTTTAACTGCAACTTTATTTGTTTCAGGATCAAGATGTTGCGGGTGTCACCCTTCATGTCCCTGCTCCCTCCAGGAGAGAAACATCCTTCCTCCCAAACACACACCTCCACCTGAGCCCAACCTGAGCAACGACCTGCGCAAGGTCAACTGCAGCCCCGAGTAAGAGCAGAGAGATGACACACGTGTTTTTGTTTGTAGGAGGTTGTGGTTTCACACAACAGGTGCAGACAGAGAAGCAGCTTTGTTTTTGTTTAACAGTTTCTCTTTCTTTCTCTGGCTTTCTCTTCCAGCACTTTTCGTTGTACACTCACTAACATTCCTCAGACTCAAGCGCTGTTGAATAAAGCTCGTCTGCCTCTTGGATTACTGCTGCATCCCTTCAGAGATTTAACGGTAGGAGCAGAAAGCACAAATCAAACACAAATCATGGTCTGGTTGATGTACTGTGTAATAGTTATAGATGTACACTAACATTAAAAAAAAAAAAATTAAATTAATGATTCACTAAGTATGCATTAAATTGACATTAAATGCATTTATAATGTTGCAAAAATTTCAAATAAAGGCTGTTCATTTGAACGTTTTATTCATCAAAGAATCCTGGAAAAGAATTATCACTCACTCCACAGAAAGCAGCACAACTGTTTTCAACTTTGATAATAATCAGAAAAGTTTCTTGAGCAGCAAATCAGCATATTAGAATGATTTCTGAAGGATCATGTGACACTGAAGACTGGAGAAATGATGCTGAAAATTCAGCTTTGCTGTCACAGGAATAAATTGCATTTTACAATATATTTAAATAGAAAACAGTTATTTTAAATAATAAAAATATTTCACAATATTACAGTTTTTGCTAAATTTTTGATCAAATAAACGAGCATGAGGGGCTTGAACTGTAAAGTTTGTTGGACAGACCTATTGATTGGATGGTTTTTGGCCATTTTAAGATTATCAATTGAATCAAGATTGTCATAGTTGTGAAAGTACCATCATGAACACATTATCCCATTTAATATATTTTAGTAAACTTCACTCTGAGTTCCCACATGAGGGTAAACCGTTTTTATCAGGTTTTGATATGAAACCGTCTGAATTACAGATAACTGTGTCATAAACGGGTGTCATACTGTCTTATCTAGAGCTTTACTGACACAACATTAGAACATGATAGTGCAGATTTAATTCTCTCTTCATTAACTCTCTCTCTCTCTCTCTCTCTCTCTCTCTCTCTCTCTCTATCTCTTTGTCTCTGCAGCAGTTACCAGTCATCACCTCTAACACTATAGTTCGTTGTCGTTCGTGTCGGACGTATATAAACCCTTTTGTTTCGTTTCTGGATCAGCGCAGGTGGAAGTGTAATCTGTGTTACAGAGTCAATGATGGTAAGAGTCTTACAATTGTGTTTGGTTAGTCTGGTTTAGGATTTCTCAAACTGGGGTTAATGAAGGAAATTAATTGAATCATAAAAATGTCAAACTAAAATAAAACATTTTTAAATAAAAGCAATCAAAATAAAACGCTTAATAAAAAAGATTAAATGTTTTATTTGTTTGCCTGCATGTTA